ATTTGCAAGTGTACATTTCTACGTATAACTCAATAACTATTTCAGGTAGATGTTAATGAAAATATAGAAATTAAAGCTAAAATTATAAGGAATTTAATTAATATAACTTTACGACTATTTAATTTAAGATTTTTAAGTAATTAGTTGTGATTGTAATTGAAAATGCATTGTATACAGATATTAAGTCATAAGTCAAAAACTATTTAAGGTAGATGTTAATTAAATTATACAAATTGAAGCTAAAATTGTAAGGAATTAAACGAATGTAAACTTATGATTGTAGCATTTATATTTTTTTAAGTAATTAACTTTGAAAATTTAAAAATAATTTTCGTGAAAATTGAAAATGTAGTGTATGCAGATTTTAAGTCATAAGTTGAAAACTGTTTAAGATAGATGCAACTCAAAATATGCATATTAAAGCTAAAATTATAAGTGTTTAATTGAGTATAATTGTATACACGTGAAACTTATAGTTTTGGAGTAATTCACTCTTAATTTTATAAAAAAAAAAGATAGAATTTGCAAGTGTACATTTCTACGTATAACTCAAAAACTATTTCAGGTAGATGTTATTCAAAATATGTAAATTAAAGCTAAAATTATAAGGAATTAAATTAATGTAAACTTATGAATGTTGCATTTATAATTTTTAAGTAATTAACTTAGAAAATAAAAAAAATAATTTTGTGAAAATTGAAAATGTAATGTAAACAGATTTTAAGTCATAAGTCGAAAACTATTTAAGGTAGATGTAATTGAAAATATGCAAATTAAAGCTAAAATTATAGAGAATCGATTTGTGCAGTAAAATTTAAGATTTTTAAACTTTTTAATTGTGTTTTGTTATTAGTTAATGATCGCCGTTTTGTTTTTGTGTGTGTGTGTGTCGAGAATTGAGAGTTGAGCTCCGATTTGGAAATGATTGAAAGCGTATTGAATTTAACGCATTCCGGACACGCAACGGTTCTCGTTCCCCGAGCGCTTATTATTAATGGCCCGGTTAGTGCATAAATCCGAATTAATGTGTTTTGATTAAGTGAAGAAGGAAACGCCGAAGAAGGACGAAGAAGAAGGAAGAAAGAAAGATGGTTAAACGGTTTTGGTCGGTGGAAAATGGTCCAATCTAAATGATCCAATCCATCCCGAAGTTATGTTACGTTACGTTACGTTGCAGTTGCGTGACGAACGACCGCCGCACAATCTCGCCCCCAGCATCAGTTCTAAAACTCCTTCCTAACATCTCTACTAAAAGGTGAAGAGATTTAAACCCGGATAAACGATGGTAACAAAAGCCGGACAAANNNNACACAAAAAAAAATCACCCAAGAAGAAAGTTTTAATTAACTTCAGTCGTTTTCACCCTTTTAAATAATTTAATTTTAATTACAGAGAAAGAGAGAGAACATACACGAAAACTCGGTAGTTTTTGAAGACGGAGAGAGATGGAAAAAACAGGAAATTCCGCGCGCGTTTCGAAAGATGATTCACTCCAAAAATCTTGTCACACGCACAATTCCAATCGCATTCATTGAAAACCACAACATTTATTTACCAACTAATAGAATAAATCTATTCTGTAGATGACTAACAATAACTATTTCTAACAATTCCGATCCGAACTAACAGAATCGATCTAAATTATGAAGGAAAAAAAAAAGTCAAGTTTCGATCGTGAGAAACTTTCTAAATGGTGGAAATTAAATCAAGAGTCCGGGGGCCGCGCATAAATTGTGTCTTCGACAAAAGGACGAACTCACAGCTAACGACTAAATCTCATCCACTTACAAATTAAGAAGTAACGTAACTTCTGTAGATTTTCTATTGGTTGAATAAAAAAAACAATTGAATGTTAATAAACAATTAATGTGAGTATGATTGCTTGATTCTTGTGAACTGATTGAATTAGGTTATTGGAAACAATCGAGAATTGAAATAATTGAATAAACTTGTTAGTTACATAGAAAGTATTCAATTAAAGTTGATGTAAGTACGCGGAGGTATGAGTTTAAAGGTTTTTTTTTTTGGATTGGTTTGGTAATAAATATCGTTTGGGAGAGGAGTTTCACAGTTGGAGTTAATGAACGGAATAATTGGATAATTAATTAAGAGAGAAAAGGAGGAGGAAAGGAAAAATGGAAAGTGTCTTGAAGGTGAGGTGATAAAGGCTATAGTAGTTTGAGTAGCTGAGGCGGCGTTATCTCAGAGCGTCAGATAAAATTATGAAGCGGATAATTGCCTATTAAAACATTAATGTTAACATTGTAGTTAAGAATTAATAACACTTCGGGAGTTGCGATGATGATGATGGAAATGGAAACAGAAAAATTTCAATATTTATGACTTCTTTTTCTTTCGATGGGATTTTCTTTGAAACGTTTCGTAATCCATTCAAATCGATGGATTAAAACGTACCAAGAAAAAAAAAACTGGACATCATCGTCGTCGTTGTCGTTGTGGTAGAAAGGACCGCGATAAAGAAGGTTCTTAGATAATTAGAGAGAGAGTGAGGTGAAAAGAGTGTGCGTGAGTAAAGTGTAAGTGTCCAGTCCGCCCACGTTGAGAATTCTCTACTTCTTTCTCTATGGACCCACTTGGCCATCAACATCACAAGAATAACAACAACGGTAAAGAGGAGGAAGAACCGTTGGACCTTTTTTTTTCAATAAAAAATAATTCGAATTCGAAATGAGCGAAAGAAATGTTACTTACTAATTAGATTAACAATTTAAGTTGGCTTTGGTAAGTAACATCAATTCATAGGTAAGCTTAAAACAAAAGAGTGTTTAATGATCGAAATAATTAAAAAGTAGGCTTTAGTGAAATTAATATAGGTTAAATGTCAAATTGTGACAGATTTCAGTAATTGAAAGAATAATTATGAAAATGTACGTTTTTTTAATTTAGAAATATTCGCATTTGCGTATCTCAAATTGAAATATTTGAGGTTTAAATTATATCTATTTGTATGAAGAAGTGTAATAAGTAGGCTTTGA